GTTATGACTGGAAAGGGCCGAAATGTCGCCAGTAACAGCTTCAGTAACCTCGCCTGCACAATCACAGGTCGAGATACCGTTTTCCACCGTTGTGAGCAAAGGTTGCATTTGGGTACAGCCACTTATGATACCACCGATAATGGTCTTCAGCTCGTCGCTCAGGGTCGGAAGACCAGAGCACGTATGAGAAAGGCTGAGCAGTTCGGCGACAAGACGAGAAAGAGGGTCAGCGGTGGTAGGATCCAGCACAAGGAGAGCGACATAAACATCAACCTCGCACAACAAACCATTGATTTCGCTCAAAAGGCTTGTCGTCGCATCGGCAGGATCAGGATTAGGGCCATTGCAGCCGCAGGAAGAATTGAACTTGGTTGCATGACCATGCATGGTCAAAGCCAACTGTACGATTGTGCTGACGTCTTTGGCAAGCTTTTGAGCAGTAGGAGACGTTGACGACGGGGATGGTGAAGGAGACAGCGAGGGTACAGGACCATTGAAGCTATGAATAATATTCCCTGCACCGAGATCCTGGGCAACAGTGTCGGTGGATGCATCGATATCGGTACCGTACAAAAGCTTCACATCGGCGGTCGGTTGTTCGTCGATCTCGATTCCAGGATCGACAGAGCTGCCAGTCGTAGAAGAAGGAGAGCCATTGGCAGAGTTTGTCGCTGAACCGTTCGAAGAACCAGAGACGGAAGTGTCCGCGCAAGGCTCACTAGAAGTACCCGATGGAGCAGAGGTACTAGAAACGAAAGTGGCAGACGAAACCGAAGATCCATCAACCTCACTAGGAGTGGAGGAAGTAACGGGTACGCCAACAGAAACACCAACATTCGTGGCAGTCGGATTGACCGAAGCTGATACATCGATACCAGAACCACTCGATAAACCTGAAGACACAGGACTAGCTCCGTTCGAGGCAGACTTTCCCGATGAAATAGGAACGGTACTTGGGACACTAGAAGTACCAGAAACGGAAGTGGAAGACGAGACCGAAGATCCAGTACCATCAACTCCACTAGGACTGGATGAAGCGACGGGTGCGCCAATAGAAACACCAACATTCGTGGCAGTCGGATTGACCGAGGCTGATACATCGATACCAGAACCATTCGATGAACCAGGGACGGAAACACCAGTCGGAACACTGGAAGTAGCACCCCATGGAACAGAGGCACCAGAGACCGAAGTGACAGACGAAGCCGAAGATCCAGCACCATCATTTCCAGTAGGAGTCGATGAAGCGACGGGTGCGCCAATAGAAACACCGACATTCGTGGCAGTCGGATTAACCGAAGCTGATACATCGATACCAGAACCGCTCGATGAACCGGAAGCGGGATTAGATCCAGACGTCACGCCCGAAGGCGCAGAACCATTACCTGGCACATTTGAAGAAGCGCTCGGTGAAGAACTCGAGTTTGACGTTCCAATAGAAGGAGTCCCAACACCTGCACTGTTCGAACTAGATGGACAGGTGGACGATGGAGATGTAGAACCAGAAGCAGCACCAGCACCTGAGGGTAACGGAGATGTGGATCCAGCTCCGACACCGACACCAGATGAAGATGACGAAGGAGCTAGAAGCCGTACATTTCAGTCATCATAAAGTTCAAAGAAAGAACAAACTAACCTGACTCTGTGTCGCAGTCACAATCTTCTGCATCCTCGGAACGTCTAGTAATCGTTCCAAGACCAGAAATACCGGTATTGAGACTATCTAGAGTACTATCTAGAGTATCGGCGAGTGGTTTGTCTAGCGATCCAAGGTTGGCTGCAGCGACATGTTGACTTCCAAGATTGACGAGGAGAGCGCCACCAGCTCCTCCAGCCGATGAAGAAGTGGAAGCAGAAGTAGATTCCTCGCATGGCTCGGACTCGGTAGGCGCAGGAGCAGCGACAGGAGATGGAGACGAAGACGGAGATGACCAAGGAGCAGGGGCAGGTTCTTCACAAGGATCCTCATGTCGTTTACGAAGTCCGAGACCACTCAAAAGACCACTCAAAAGACCGCTACCGGTAGATCCAGACTTCACTGACCCATCTGCAGCTGCAGGAGGGCAAGAAACAGGGGGCGGAGAAGGTGGCAGAGGAGGAAGAGAATGGTGTTCTTCCATCCTCATCACAGTCACACTCTTCAGAAGCGGAGCTGCAATAGCAGCAACTGGAAGCCCAGTCCGTGGTGAGACCAGTTAACAGAAGTGAGCTTAGTCAGACTGCCTGCACCTACTCCGTTAGCGAGACGCCAATGGTACGTCGAGACTGCTGGGCTCGTGAGACCGCTAGAGTGCTGGGATCGTCAGACCGCAGCAAGGCGCTAAGAGTGCTAGGGTTCGCAACACTGCCGAGAGTTCCAGACAGACTGCTGGGGTTCGTAACACCAGCGAGAGTACCAGAGACTGCTCGGGCTCGTAACACTGCCAGAGTGCCAGCGAGACTGCTAGTATCCGTCAGACCAGTCCGAAGAAGCAGACTGTCCGTTGCAGACGATACAGACGATCCAGAATCGACCGGAGCCACAACAGAAGTAACCGGAGCAACACTAGTCGAATCTGATGAACCAGCGCTGACGAGAGGAGGATTCGACAAGGGTGGAATGGCGGGTAAGATCCGGGGTAGATCTGCAGACGAAGTGACGGAAGGATAACCGGGCCAGGACCTGTCAGTGGGGCAGCCAGGCCCGCAGGAGCTCCAAGTCGAGGAACGATACGACTTGAAAGTACACAGCCGTCGGGACCAAGGATGTATCCTGTGAGGCAAGCATCAGGGATGCATTCACCGTTCTCGCAGCGATGACTGAGGGTTCCACGAGACACGACCGTATTGCAGTCCTGGCCTCGAGCAGATAGAGTAGACTGGGACCAAGGGTGGGCATACATACAACCGCCGCCTAGAATGCTATCAATAAACTGGTATCGATAAACCAACGAGAAAACTAACAGCTCTCCGAAGTCTTGATATCGACGCAGTCGAAAGCATTGTCAGTTGCGCTGAAAACACCACAGACGCGCTTGTCGCCACAGTAAGCCTGGGCGTCAGCAAAAGTGGATTCTTGTGCCACGCGCTTTTTGAGCGATCGAGGAAGAGACGAAGGATGACCGTTGCAACCCTGGAAAGAATTTAAACACCGGTATTTATACGAACGATAAAGGAAGACTCTTACATGAGGGAAATTACCGCAGACGCCGTTACAAACCGATTTGGGAGCAGAACATACACATTGATCGCCGATTCTGGTGAAAGAGTCGTTGCAGTCATAGTAGCAAGGGTCCGAGTTGCAAGTACGATGAGCGTTGGCTGGAAGTGGTTTAGCACATTTAGGCTGCGCCTTGAACTGTATGACGCGTTGAAAAAGCGAAAAGAAGAAATAAAGAAGAAAACATACGATATCGTTGAGTTCCGCTTTGACGACAGCCTCAAGGCCGAGAATGTCCAACTCAACGTTTGCATCGAGAAAGAGGTCGAGATCCTGAAAGGCGAGTTAGTCGAAAAAGCTGAGAATGCGAAAAAGAAAGACTCGCCCTTAAGCAAAGACAGATATGAACACCGGCGAAAAGGTCTTCGAGAAGCTGGTTGCCGTTGATAACAGCGTCGAGATCAACGCAAACATCAATCAAGGCGCGTGCAGAGACGCGCTGAGGATGATACTGGCGTTGAGAAACGACAGAATGCTGAGCGAGATGAGATTTCTGCGGACGACGAAGAGCGTCGACCGAAAGAACTGCAAGTGAGAGAAGGAATGTGGGAGTGAGGCTTTTCAACCTCATCGCGAACGAAAATGAACGAAGAGACTGTGGTGGTTAGAGTTCAAGTGCTCTGAGATTTGTAACAAGTGGGTCGGTCAGTTTTTATATGCTCTGAGAAGCCGGAAGAGGAAATCTGGTTTACTTTTTCGGCTCGACATGGCTTCGACTTCCTTCTTGTCGCGCCGTCAAACAAGTAATCGGCCGATTTGAACAGCTCGGAGCTCGTATTCGCCCGTGCTACATCGATTGCGAATGTTTTCACTGGATAAACTAGCGAAATTGCAGCGAAATCAAGTACAAGACAAACGCTAAAGCTATCAGCGATAGCGAGTTGCTTTGTTCTGCTCGCAAGTCGGACATTGGACCTGACGCGACGCGCGACATTGATTCATTTATTGTGGAGCCGTTATCAGGTTCGAATTCTTCGATTTTCGTCGCGTCCGATCTGCGCATGCGTATTGGTCATCCGAGGACTTCAAGTTCTGTAGCTCAAATCGCAGTTTTCATTTTCAACATTCCTAGAGCTAGAAACAGAGAAGATCGAAATTAAGATAGATCCAATAAAGAGTATTTTGCAGTAAAAAAACGTACGGATAAGGACTAGCTATCGGATCGTCTGCCACCAATAATATCACAATCACATAGAAGTTCAGTGACTGTCCAATTTGACAGCGCCGACTCGCTAATTTCTCTTCTTCAAGCCAAATATCGAACTAATTGTCATGAATGACGCGTATTGCACCGAAATACATGCGCATGAACACCGAAATACCCCCAAAGTCGGTTCCAGGTAAGTCAAAACGTTAACGTTTAAATATTTTCTCCAATCTTTTTTTCCAGGTCAGATCAGTTTGTGAAGATACGAGCAAGACGAAAATCGGTAAGAATATCCACCAATTCTTTTGGTGCTCCTGGAAGTTGCGAGCGAAGAAAAATCAAATGGTCTAACCAAACAAGCACAAATTAAACCGGTCAAAGCTGTACTTATCGAAGCGCGCGTCTGTGCCGTGTTTAGACGGCGGCTCGATATTACCCAATATTCACCATACAGTGTATATGACAATAATACGCATAGCGTTAAGTAGAAAACAAGGAAAGAATCAACCAAAAGCCCTTGTAATCACCGTGAAATAAGTATAGAGACATCGAAACTGTCCACGTGTTAGTTATGTTCCCTCTGTTCCTCTGCTCCATACCATCTCAACAAGCGAAAGAAAAAAAGTTTTTTTAATCCAAGTCGATGTGCTAAAATGGACAAGTCCGGAATTGAACCGGAGACCTTCCGCAAGACACACAGCAGAAAGAAAGCTGATTGATGCAAAGCGGACGCGATAACCCCTACACTACATGCCCATGATAGGGGAATTAAATTATCGGTATAAATCATAGTATTGTACAGTAATTGACATCATTAAGCGGAACTGGTTCCAATGAGAGAGTGTGGCAGAGAGAGCATACTAGAAAATGCAGCAAAAAAAGATACTTTGTCGGACCTGATGAATTCTATATAACTCGGGGGCAGAGGGAGGAGCGGGAACAGTTTTTGTAATGGATATGAGCAGAGAGGGGCGGGACCTCGAGGACGCGACACCTCGACCAAGGATTTCTGTGTTATTCTTGCCATTAGACCAAACTCGAATATGGGCGACGAATTTAAGAAGAAATTTCCTTTTCAGCTTCCTGCTTCAACTCCTCAAGCTTTTTATATTGCCCCAGCATCCGAGGGTATTTTCGCTGCACTAGAATGGTGTCTGCTAAAACTTTCCAAAGGTCAAAGCTGTACATATGTATTGATCTCGAGCGAGATGCGGCGCTGGATACGACCAAAAAGCTACGATTAATTAGGTATACAACAAAACGACAGATATATATGTCAATGACTGCACAACCTTGGAAAACAAAGAAAGAATCCAACCAAAAGCACTCGCACTGAAATATGTAAGTATAACATAGACGATAGTAGAAGAAAGTATGCTTGGAGCGACTTACGAGATCTTGTACCAATCACAGGTATTTTCGATGGTGTCTACGCACCATTGTACTGAGGCTGAAGTTGCTACAGTTGGTCGCATCGGTGGATTTATGCTTCTGCAAAAGCGAGCCAGGTTAGTTGAGTGCTATTGCCGCTGTAATTTCCCTATAGAATAATTAGCATACAAAATACTAAATAATTGAGATAACACTGAATATTTAACTTGAAGTTGTAGCCGTGCTATATGTTGAAGAATTCGCAGCCGCTGACACTGATTATACAATCTGTAGGGACACAGTCAGTGTGTATAAGATGATTAGAACATATGACTGTACTTACCAACGACAATGTCAACGAGCCCATACGTAATGTAATCCGAAGCCTGGGTCGCACAGGACAGGTGCTGACCAGATGGCAAAACTGAGCGCCAGTAGCATCTCAATGCAAAACTTTGATCATCAGTGGCAATCACAACTCTTGATTCTTTACGACCAGCCACCACGATATCGATGGTAGTACCGCAGGTGCCTAACGAACTGGTAGAATGTATCCTCGACAACCTCTACTTCGACAAAAATACTCTACTCAGCTGCGCGCTGGTCGCAAATGCTTGGGTTACCCCTTCTCAGCGGGGAATCTTCCGTCTCATTACTCTCAAACCACCCCATTCGGAATATGGTAACAACTTTTCGGTGCTCTTCCGCGCTTATCTGAAAACCAACAGTCTACTCATTGCATCATTCAATGAGAAACCATATTTGGCTTCATATGTTCGGGCTTTGGAGCTAATACATTTCCCAACCGTGCTGCAGCCGACTCCCAATGTTTCACCTCTGTGGAAAGCACTATGTACTTCTACCACTAGAGTCATTCGACACCTCTCTAACGTGGAAAGTATACTATTCAAGGAATTTCATTGGCATTCGATCACCATTTCTCCTTTGTTGGAGGAGGCATTGGTCAACATTCTGAAGGCACCTTCATTGACTCGGATCTTCCTCCATGACTTTCTTAGCACCTCTGATCTAACATCTCTTTTGGCTTATCCGGCTCATTTGAAGGCGCTAAAGGTCGAGTGGGCTAAATACCCTCAGGTGGAGCCAACTTTGGATAATACCACTAAAGCTGCACCTCAGTCTATACAGCTTGACCAATTGTTGCTTCAAATTGAACAAAAGCCTTTTCATACTTTCGATGATCTCGTGGATTGGTTCCAGCATAAGGCTTGCCCATTTGACCTTCGGCATCTACGATCATTGCAGATATACCATTCTCGCTTGGATCATCATCGGGCTGCTTACTTGTTGCAGCAGGCTGGTGGCAATCTTAGGGAGCTAGAGCTGCAGGGTCTATATCCGAATGAAAAACGTATGACGCATTCCACCGTGACATGTTACTTGTTTTTCACTAACAATTTCTCCTGCTTTAGCTTTAGATGTTCTTCATCTTGGATACACATCCAAACTGCACACCCTGAAACTATCCCGCGTTTTTCAGACGGAACTGTACTCCCCCATCCCGTGGATTCATTCCCTTTTCCAACCTTTCCTGGATTCAGATCGGAACATTTGCTCCCTGCGACATCTGACTGTTGAACTCTATACCAACCCACAGGCGATACCTCAGCTGGATCAGTGGGCTTTATTTGATGCATTACTTGAAAAGCCACAGTTTTCTTCACTCGAGGTGGTCAATATAATGATAGTGGGGATGGCCATTATGCCAAGCAGCGTTACGGAGTCGCTTAGCGAGAAGCTACTGTTTCTAAATCAATCGGGAAAGCTGAAAGTCACCTTCAGCCTCCACCCTATGGTAGGACCGCAAACACCGATGGTGATATATGGGAATGGCCTTTTTTTCAGTTATCAGCCTTAACTACTTACATTTATTTGCTATCGAAAATTTGGTGTGTATTGGTCGCTTGGTTTGTTATGCTCATACAGTGTACAAGTTGCTCCGCTTACCTTTATTCTTTACCGTTATTTTTTACACTTTTTGGTCTCCTTTACATTGATTTCATTACTACAGGACCAGAGCATTATAATCGAGGTATCAGAAAACTCATTAGCCCTCTGGAGATCTCTGGAGCTCTCCGGAGCTCTCTAGAATTGGTACCATGGCTCCAGATGCTCCAGATGCTCCAGATACTCTGGAGCTCTCTGGAGAGCTCTGTAGATCATACAGGTCTGCTGATGAAATGGCTACTATGAAGCATTTACTCGAAGCATTTATATTAGTGAATCCGGAACTTGAAGCTGCAGGATCTTACTACAGACACTGACATACTAGTCACTGCATACTTGAACCACCGTCGATTCTTGTCCTGAATGATCGACTATTCATAATCAAATTGAAACGGTCAATTTTGGCCATGCTACATTCCAGCACGTATAAAAGGCGATGAATAAACCACTAATTCTTCGCTCTTGCCCTACTTGAAATGTTGTTCAAATTTCTCCTTGCCGTCTCTGCTCTCGCTGCTCCCGCTTTCGCTCAGTCCTGTGCTGAGGCTTCTCGTTTTGGTGATCTCACCTTCTCACCTAATCCTATTGTTCTCGGAGAAGTAAGTATCGACTACTATTATACAGCTGAATTATCAGTTCCTAACACAACTTTGCATCTATTAGCCAGTAACTTTCAATGCCAGCTTTGCTTGTGCAACTGAGCTGGGTTACGCGCCGCTGTATACGGATTATACCTTGGTTGTTCCACCCGCCAACAACACTGGGTAAGTATACGCTGCTATTTTGATTCTAACAGCAGAATTCCTGACAAGGACGTAGCTTTCAAGCCCCCATCTACTTTGCCCGTCGCGATGCTCCTGCTGGTGGAAACGACGTGTTTACCGTTACCGTAAGCTTTTTGATTTCTGATTTTCAAAAACCAAGCTCATTCAAGGCAGTTTGACCCGAACTATTCCCAATTCACGACTTACCCTGACGCCCAATACGAGATCATCCTCGCCGCCACACACGTTGCTGAGTCCGACAGCTATGGGCAGACTTTGATTCAAGGAGAAGTGGAATTCGCCGTCACTATCAACCAGGCCTCTAGATCCGGTTACACGGAGACATTCAGCAACCTGTCCTGTGCTACTCAAGCTTCGGATTACATTACTTATGGACTCGTCGACACTGTGGCTGGTAAGTACAATCATATGTTCTCATATACTTATTCTACGCGCTGACTACTGTCTTTTAACAGACTGTGAGACGATGTGTACCAACGTCAGTGGCTGCACATTCTTCAACATCTACTATGACTACAACTCAAATCCCAAGGTGAATATTTAGTGTGATCCTACTTAATGTTTCGTATGCTAATCGTTCTACAGGGAAACTACAACGGCAATGGCACTCAATTAACCTGCTCGCTTTTCCAGGATAAACATACTGCATCCGATGCGACCAACTGTGGTAATCAGCCCCAGTCTAATGGGGGTGTAGACACCATCGAAAATAGCTGTGGCTGGTACAAAAGCTCGTAAATCGTTCTGAAAATACCTTCTTTTACTGTCTCTTGCTGCGCTCGTTATTGTATCTCTCTACTGTATCGTTTATGTTCACTTATTCAAATTAATTGCGAGGGTTTTTGGTCAATTGTTGCTTGCCGTATGCATATCCTCGTCGTTTATGTTGCATAGTTAATCCAGGGTTTTTTTGGTCTACGCCTCGCTCGAGATCAATATGTACAACTTTGACCTTCTAAAAATTCTAGCAGACACCAAATCGATTTTCAATCCACCTTGCTCGCGTCCCACAAGAAATAAGTAGAATTTTGATTGTACGCTCTTTTCCATACAATTTAACATGGAAGCTATACATATTCATCCTGATATCAGAAGCTTTGAATGGTAGTGGCAAAGTTGGGCGAGGTGGTGAATGAGCCTACTTCCTTCCCCGCGTAAACAACCTGTACGTTTCTCGAAGTGGAGATAGGACTCTCATCAACCGTTAGAGTTACTGTTTCTGGTTTGCCATCACTCCAATCCAGATCCACGGTTATGCCTCCCCTCGTGCGCGCACCCTTGAGATGTCCAGAGGGCCAATTGGTGGGTAAAGCTGGAAGAAGAGTGATCACCAGTGGAATATCGAAGGAAGCAACATCCGGTGCTTGCAAAAGTCCATTCTACGTGGCGCAAGTGCAATCAGCACGCGCAGATGAAAAAAAGGACGAGACTTACCAAAAGAGCAGCAGGGAATCCAAAATTAGCATCGATCTAGTATCCGTAGACAAAGTTAGTAATGAACGATCACAGCAGATCCCTCTCACCTGGAAAATCGGGACTGGATCAAAGGGGTCATACAAGCTGAAAAGGTTCGGAGCAAAATTTTCGTAAAGGGTATACTGGACAGACATGAAAAATGTTAGTCATAGAAAG